CCCCCCCCCCCCCCCCCGATTGTATCATTTATGCATATGTCAGAACGGTAATCTACACGAGGGTTGTTGTTATCTTCAAGATGATCACCTATAACCTCATTCTAATAGTGCTTCTACTAATCAAAACATTCTTTGAATTCTTCTGAAGAATTATCTTCACAGCCTGTGACATGCCCATACACAAATGTCATTTGCTTTTTCATAATAATGCTAAATCATTACTTTTTGAGGCTAGATTCAATATATTGAAATACTTGAAAAATATTTGAGTTTAAGATGGGCACCTGGAATTAACCATCAAGGTGGATGTGACCACTTGTGTCAAAGTCTCGAGGCTGAATCTTCTGTACAGATCATAATCCAAAAGAATTCCAAAAACGTTCCTGTAGCAGTAGTGCAGATAAGGAGAACGTTTGGGGCTGACTCCTTTAAAGGACAACATGTACTGAGGTGTGTGGTCATTTTAACTGACAAAGCTGTTTACTCCCTTCAATTCTTTAGGAAAACTAGGAGTAGTCATTCTTTTGAAAAATCAGTTTTATTCCCTAGGATCATTCCTAGATGCTTAGATTACTGGGTGCCACCACTTAATCTATGCCTAGCTCATTATGAGAGAAACAAACATTCCTTGTTGAATGAAAAATCCAAGTAAAGTCATTCTAAAGTGTCAGAGGAAAGTTTGATGCTCGGCCTCATGATGTTTGGCAGCCTGGATTTGCAGATTAGTGAGTGAGCTGCTGGAGAAGGTTACATTCTGGCTTTGGGGACCCAAGGCTCAGGAAAATATGTAAGTTTTCAGCAGAATGGTCAGTTTCCAGTTTACATAATATCTGAGCCAGTTAGCTTTTTCAAGGATATTAAGATGAATTGCAGAAATTTTGGTCACATTTCCAAACTCAACCCCTGCTAATGTGAGAACTGACTCTGAGGTCACTTGGGTCAGTCTGGGGCCTCTCGTTATTAATGCCCATTAAGGGGAAAAATGGTTTGGCCTGCGCAACATGGACAAAAATTTCTCTAAAGCCAAGGAATCCTGAGTCACCCCTCACACACCCCAAGCCAAAGAGCAAGAAACAGATTACTTGTTGAACAAAATTATCCACAAATAGCCAATGTGTAAATTAACATTATGAACAAATTCCTGGGGACCAGTCACATATAACCCTCCTAGAAGAAGAGAGCATTTCTCTAAAAACAGAGATTTAAGACATACAAAAATATTTTGACTCTTACGCACATCAAATATTTATTCGACTTTAAGCCAATTCTCATTGCTTTTGACTTTTCACTTTAAGTTCAGCCAAAAAAAAAAAAAAGTTGGGATTGAGGGTAAAGCAAATGCAATGTGGGGATTGATCCAAGTTGAAAATGAACACTTTGTCTTTATTTTCTTTCCTCCGTGTTCTCCCTCCCCACATACTAGACCTTGAATGGCTGGTTTCCTCCAAGGCCTCTGTGCTGAACTTGCACTGATGTTTCATGTTCTAAAACTCCTGCTTCCTGCCACTCACTCCTATTTCTAAACCCACTTTTGGCCTCCTCCAGCTGACTAAATGTTCTTACAGCGTTGTGAGTGATGGTGCTAGTGACAGAAGACAGCCGTCGTTCAACTCCTCACCTGGCAGAAATCTGATTCAGACTCATTTACTTTTGGCGTGGCCAGTAACAAGAAACACAAATGCAGGCACACTTCAAGTTGAACCCACAAGTGTACTTTATCACTGTCTCCCATCACCTTTTGGTCCAGAATGTGGGAAGGATTCTCTGCTGGAGCCAGAGGGCATTCTCATCTAATCTCCCTCACATAGCAGTTGGGGATTGGGGAGCCCCTATCACAGCCTGTGAGTCTAATAAGCATAGTATGTAAAGTTACTCAATAAATGTTGGTCTTTATCTCCCCACAGTGGGAACCAGCTTTAAGATAGGGTCTCTGGGCTTATCTACATGATATGTGTACTGACATTATTGCTCTCATGCCCTGTGCCAATTCTTTTATAACAACCCTGTGAAGTAGGTAGTGTTATTCTCCCAACATGTCAAAAGTATAAATTGAGCACGGAGAATTCAGGCGACTTGCCCAACTCACACAGCTAAGAAGAAGATTCAGACCCATAAGGTCTATCTAGAGCAGTACCCATTTCCTTAACCTCATCTGCACATCCTGCCTCTCTTAGGTGGTTGTGTGAATTCTTACACCGTGGGAAACGGCGGCACTTCCTAGCAGGTCTCACCAGAAACGTAGCAGTGGGCATCTGTGTCACCTGCTCTTATATGGAGGTATACCCTTTCCCTTTATGTGGGCTAAATGGAGCCAAGGCTCTTATCAGCACCACCAGATTTCCTCAGCTGGCTCTATTCTCTGTCTCATTCTAATTTATCAACCACACTAAGTTCAAACTAACCCGGACATGATCCAAACAAAAATGTGTGCATGTCTTCTCTAAAGGCCATGTCAGTATGGGTCAAGAGGGTGGCTTCATACACTTCACTGCCCTCTGCTGGAAAAGCATGCCAACAACTACACAAATTTGTGAAGCAAAGCATGCCCCCTGGAGTTGTGCAGTGCAAAATGTTTATAACTAGAACCAACGGCGGGAATAAAAGGCTTCTAGTAACTTAACCAATAGTCCGGGGATCGAAAGTAGTACATGAGGCATAGAAACAGTCCTCGAGAGACTTTCCCAGGATTTTCTCTGGCTGCACTGATAACTTGTCCCATGGGTATCTGCATTTTAAAACAGAAGCTTGTTAACCTAAATAAATCTTTAATTAGTAGGATTTAAAGCAATGTGATGAGTGATGAGAAGATTTTCATGCAGGGACGAACATATTTTTGGATGGTGATGTCTTATGAGTCTCTCTGCAAAATAATGAGTGTGTTTCTTCAGACATTTGCAATTAAAGCACCTTAATATAAAATATCTCATTTGAACTACAAAACAGCTCTGAGAAGTGTTATAATTGTCTCCATTTTAAGAATGAGCAGAGGACAGTAGAGGAGTTTGTTTAATGCTTTTGGTGTCCCTAGAACTGTATTAACTGTGTTACACCATTTATTTAGTCTTTAAAAGAATCTTGTAGGTGGTATCCTACTGTTTTAGATGAAGAAACTGGGCTCTGAGAGTCCAAATGTTTTGCCCAAGGTTATTCAGGTAGGAAGGTCAAAGCCAGGACTTAAACCCAGGTCTGACTGGCTCTACAGCTGAGCTCTTTCCAGTACAAACATCACACAGGTCAACCCAGGGACCCCTGTCCTAAGCCTGGCCTCAGGTGAGGAGGTGGGGAGGCCAAGACCAGCCTTCATTGAGTACTTTCTACAGAGGAATGTGACATATGTTATCTTACACAACAATCCATTAAAGTAGGTATTACATCTCCCACCATGTATAAAGGAGCACTTACGAGTTATAGTCGGGATTTAACCCAAAGTCTCTCAACTCCTTAGTGTTCTTGCCAGGATACAAAGTCCTCCAGGCAGACGTGCTGGTACCTGGTACTCTCTGCAGGAAGCAGCTCCCAGGAGGCTGAGCTGTTACACACTTCCTAAGCCCATCTGCAGAGACACAGGCTACCTTCTGCCTGCTTTCTTCCTCACAGCACTAAGTCTTATCCTGCTTTCCC